GAAGGGACAATCAATTCTGTCTATCCAATACTTTAATAAAGGAAGCGACCACGGGCACCTGACGTTACTTATTTTTCTTTTAGTTTAAAAAATTTAAAAAATATTATATAGACCCCCTACCTAATCTTTAAGAAATAGGATGCAACCACAGGCACCTGACGTTACTTATTTTTCTTTCAATAAAAAAAATATACCCCCTACCTAATAATTAGGTAGGAGGTATATTTTTTTCATTAAAAGAAAAATAACATCAAGTGGCAGCGACTCCATTTTGTATAAACAGGCACTTAGTATTGTTTTTGAAAGTTGGGGGGGGGGGGCTTACAACTTACCTAGCCAAATTTTATTCACCACCAATGAACATTTTTCAACAGTTAAAGGTTATAACTGGCAAAAAGTGGGGGCAGCCCCCCCCCCCATAATTTCATCATGCAGTAATTTAACCAATATCAATTACACCAGGAAACACAGATCCGTTGTGAATTGGTAAGGAAATTTAGGTATATGGAGAAATTGACTAAGGAAAGTGATAACCCCCCCCCCCCGGCAATAGTTTTGTCCGCTCCTCATAAATAGTTCACTATAATTTTTTTTTAATTTAGTGATTTTTTTCCCCTGTAAACTAAAAGCATGGCAATCTAGATCTCCGTTGTATGAACATAAGGAGAACATAATATTCTTTCTGGGTTTGACAATGAAATAAGATATGTATTGATGTCTTCTACAGCATGCGTGAGTTGTAGTTACATTATTTTTTTTTAATTTAAATGAAAAAGATAACTCGAGTTAAGCAATAGAACATTTAGAAAGAAAATATGTACATAAGTACATGTATATGCGAAAAATATAAAATTACGAAATATACTCATCTAAATTATATACTTCACTGCACAATTATATAGAAAGGATATTTGCGTAAATGTGCGAAAACATTATCAATGAACAGAATTTAGTAGTAAATTGTATGTCTAAATTCAAAGATCGAAGATCGGACGCATGTTTTTTGTCCTGTCTGCCCTTCATTCTTGCTGTCTACGAAAAAAATTAATACATGTACAGTATCTGAATGAACTTTGAACTGTAGTTTAGATGAATATGTATTGATCACAAACATAAACTTGCATCATCTCAACATTTGTGTTTTACGAGGTGTGTACGGCAAACAACAATATTAGGTTATTGCTATACATCTTGCGATAATCTTCATCTCCATTTTAGTGCATGGATTTATCACAAAAAAAAAAAAAAAAACTAAAAGAGGATTTAAAACATAATTCAAAGTTTTACAAGTCACACTTTGTTCAGGAAGGAGGAATTTATCGGTGTTAATAAAAGAAAAACTAAAATATTTTGTGTGTGTGTTCATTTATTCATTATTGGCATAAAATATGATTGCAAGGTCTACTTCTTTCGCGATTGGCTGAGTGTGATTCGGAAACTTCCAGTACTGCCAAATACCAAATACATGTACGTGTATCCTGTGACCATCATCACCGGAGGAAAAACCTCCATTAGGGGAGAAAGAGATATTGAATATAAGGTACATTTAGAAAGTGCATATAGATTAAAACCCTTCGATGTAGTGACTTTTTTTTTCAGAGAGCCTTGTCTAGATTTTTTTTTATTGAAAAGCCGACCTCTACCCCATTTTTTGTTATTACATTGTGATCAAACCTGCCATTTTTTTTTCTGCCGGAAATGGGGTGGGAATAAAATCTAACCATTGCCCCCTGATTTAAGAAGCCCCCTGATTTAAGAATCGGGTTTCTGTGAAGCTGTTTAGTATTTCGTTTATAAAATGTTTCCTTGGTCTACACGGTTTGTCTGAAGTTTTAAGATTCAAGAAGAAAATTAAAAGAAATTAAATATTTCAACTGTGCTGCATGTGATTATTAAAATCGGGGTGGGGGTATCGGATTTGGATATCGATATAGACTCTCTAAGTACCGGTAATGGTCAACGTGAATCATCTGGTTGATTTATTTTTAATATATCGATCTGTTATTTCACGGGTTTTACTTAATTACAGAATAATTTAGGATATGGCTATAATGGATATAATTTAGGGGCTGGCAATATTTTGTCGATTCAAATCAAAGTTGAGAGAAAGAATCAAGCTTAATTTACTTTTTACTTCTCCTTGAAAAATCTGACAAACAAAAAAAAAAAATAATAATAATCTGAGAAAATTGGGGTTGGGGGTTGGGTTACATTCCTCCCTATTTGTCCCAGTGTATGCAAGACAGATTAGGGGACGACCATTTGATTCTGAAAGGGGGTGGCTGGAATTTTTTTCCGGGTCCAATTTATTTTTTATGTCGGTGAAGGACTATTTATTTTCATAGCATCAGTCAAAGACAAATTCTTTATTTTCTTGTCAGTCAAGAACGGATTATTTATTTCCAAGACCAACATTTTAGAGGACAGATTATTTATTACCCCCCCTCCCCTCACAATCAAATAGTCGTCCCCTTATTTGGTTCCAAAAGCCCCCCCCCCCCCCGGGTAGGATCAAAATGTATTGATAATTGACGATTAACGTTCTTTAAGCTTTCACTATAAATCATTTTTTTAAATGTTGATCTTTTTATTTAAAATCAACCGAAAGATACAAATAATTTTATTTTTTAACAGAATCTGCTCCCTGCATTATCATGCTCTTGTCATCATACTATATAGCTGCTCTTGACTGTGACGTCACATCGACTTGAAAACCCGAGATGTGCACACTAAATATGCACCTCTTAGCTGGGGTGAAACAAGTGGGCGGATCATGGATCTTCAAATTTTTGTAACCTGTTTTCTGTACTAAACACTGCTCGCTTTCGTCTCCTCTTCTGCTATTTGATTACCTAAGTAAAGGAAAACTTTAATCTAAAGGAATAAAGTTTGTGTGTTGTACTACGATGACAGAATACCTTATATTACATACAATGCCTATACGCCATTTTGCTACAGAAAGTTCGGGAAAACAGTGTACCTGTGACGTCGCACTTCGAAAAGTGACGTCGAACAGGAGTTGTCTGCAGTGTATTGGCAGTGATTACATCGTCGCATTTCTCTGGTTATTTGTTGGATTTAATCGTTGTTACGACTGTAAAAATACTTGTTAGTGTTTTCGGTTATCGTAATGAATATGCATTGGTATGTATTTTCGTTCTCTGCGAGTTATTTCTTTAGGATATCGGCTTGTGTAGTCTTCATTCATGGATACTTATAGAATGAAAGATACTTGGGATTTTAGCGCAGCGTGACAGTACAAATACTTCTACCGTGTTAATTACCGTTTAATTTGTACATCGCGTGGACTGATTAACAATACAAACCGAATACACATTTAACTACAGGATTTTTACCTATCTCAACTGGCGCATGCTCAAAGGGGTTAGTCGCCGCTCAGCGGCGACTAACCCCTTTAGGCATGCGCCAACTAACCCCATAAAATTTTCATCTAACCCCTGCCAATACAAGCAACCTTGTTTACAGAAATAAATAAACAAACACAACAATAAACAAACAAATAAATTAAAAAGGAAAAAACAATATTAGAAGAAATAAAAAATAAATTATTTATAGAGAGATAAACAAAATCTTTACCCCAATACTGTATTAGACACAAAATGCAGAGAATTAAGGCAACATTTTTTTTCTTTTGAGCTACAAGTACATGTAAGGAGACTTAGTTGCTTATTTTTTTCAATTCTCTATATTCCGAATGAAATAATTATTCTGAGTTAAAATAATACCCTGTTTGACCTAGATTTTCCAGATGAGTGACCAGGTTAAAGTTTTTGGAGCAGGTCCATTCCCAAGTAACTATAAGCCTTACCTTGACCAAACTTGCATGGATGATGCATCTAGGGATGGGCACTACCACACTTGCTTCGGATGCTGGATTCGACCTAGATTTTCCACGTGAGTGAATTTTAGCCATATTTTAACCAAATTAGCATGGATGATGTAGCTAGGGATGGTCACTTCCAGACTTGCTTTGGATTCTGAATCTTACCTACATTTTCCAGATGAGTGACCAGGATAATTTTTTTGGAGTAGCAATATAACATTATGGCCTGTTATGATTAAACTTGCATAGATGGTGCATCTAAGGATGAAAACTTCCAGACTTACTTTGGATGTTGGAACTGACCAAAATTTTCTTGATTAGTAAACAGGATAAATGTTTTTTGAACAGGTCTATTTCCAAGTAACTATAAGTCATACTTAAACCAAACTTGCATGGACATTGATCTTGGAATGTACACTAAATTAAAAAATATGTGAAATTTGCCTTACTTAAAGATAACATTCGTCGAGGTGAGCTTCGTAATCTTTGAATACCTATGTTTTTTTTTAATCTAATTCTTTTCCTAATAAGTTATTTTGTAAAACGAAAACACTTTCTCAAAGATTGAGTCCAAAAAATATTTTAAAATGACCCAGATTGACCTGTGCAGCATGTTTTCTTGTGTTGCATTTTGATACGTTAGCCCAACAAAGTGCACATATTTATAATAATTCACGCAAAATAATGAATAAATATGGTTTAATAACATGTTTCCATTCTATTTTGAGTATAATAGTTTGATTGTCTAGATTAAAATTCTTATTTACTGACAAATTTGAAGACAGATACTTTTTCTTAAATTTCAATATTTGGCATTTCGGCATATATACTGCTGAGAGGCAATAGCAGAAAAATAAGCATGTTGACATATAATTTTTCTTATGTCTATCTATTGCTGGGATATATGTCTATGTTATGAAAGCAAGCTTTTCAAGGTTGAGCCCATTTAGTGCCGAGTATAGAACTACCTTAAATCAATTTCTGTCCTATCTAACTTGTGAAGTCACAGCCAATGAAAATGTTTAAGGCTTTGAAGTCTGCATATATCCTTCTGGTTTAGAATATAGTTTAAGATTTTTTCGAGCAGATTTTGAGTTTAGGTGGAGATATTAGACATTACCAAATTTAGTCCTAAAATTCTTATTTCTCATGGCAGATAAATCATACCTGGCACTAGCTATGTTAAATGGTGTGATGGCAGCTATTTCTGTTCACTACCGAGCTCCATCTGCTCGAAGTGGCAGTACCAGTCCAGATGAACCAGACTCACCAGTTACTGGTTCAGTGACTCCCAACAAGTTCTTTGACAGTAGGTCCTCTCTCACACCCTTGGCAGTGATGAGTACAGCTCGCTGCGCATTTGGCTTGGAGGTTTTAGATAAGCAGCTAGTTGCATGTGGTAAGTAATCTCTAACTTTTATTAAGAGATACATTTTGTTCATAGCTCATCTGAGGTAAAAGTTCAAGGAAGCTTTCACATGATATAATGTAAATTTCAAATTATTCAAATCATGGCCCCTTGGAATAAGGCCAAGCCACAATAGGGGATCAAATTTATACATTGGAATATAATGGAACAAATCGTTAAAAATCTTCTTTTATAACAACTGGACCAGAAAAGATAAAGCTTATGTGAAAGTGTATGGACATAATGTAGATTCTAAATTGTTTGACTAAGGGTCCCCAGGGTAGGTAAGCCACAAAATTTTACATTGGGCTATGTCAGAAAAATTTCAAAAATTCTCTCAAGAACTGAACTAAAGCAAATAATTTGCCAACATTTTCAAGTTCATTTTTTAAATTGTACTCTGAATTCAGATTTTAAATCTTGATCAATTTTATGAAATGCATTTATACATGAAAAGAATTTTCTTCTCCATAACTGCAAAGCCATGTTAACTAGTTGCATCCCATGTTGCATGGATTCAGAGACCCCTTAAATTTAAGGTGGCTATAACATGGGGTCACAATATTTGATGGGAATATAAACAAGAAAAATCTCTTAAAAATCTTCTAAAAAACTACAGGTAAAACTACTCAAAGGAGTGTTGTGGCTCTTGGATCTCTTGTTCATGTATTTTTAGCAATTGAGTGATAAATAAATATAACATAGCAAGAAAAACTTTGATGTTCAAGTTCAAAGATAATTGTGAGTTTTTAGCTCACTTGAGCCAAATCAAGTGAGCTTTTCTGATCAAAGGGTGTCCGGCATCCGTCTGTTGTCTGTAGTCCGTAAACTTTTCACATTTTTGACTTCTTCTCAAGAACCACCGGGCCAATTTCAACCAAACTTGACACAAGGCATCCTTGGGTAAAGGGGATTTAAGTTTGTTCAGAGGAAGTGCCACACCCTCTTTCAAAGGAAGATAATAAAGAATTTGTGAAAATTTGGTGGCATCATTTAAAAAAACCACTGGGCAAGAAAAGATTAAACTTATGTAAAAGCTTCATTACATACTGTAGATTCAAAGAGCTAGGTTCATTTATGCATAAAATGGCCCTGTATATATACCAATTTATTGACTAAAACCCTATGTCCCATTTTCAACATCAATATAAAGTAAAGACTTAGTGCTTTCAGTTTGTACAACAAAATTTCCTGTATAGCCCAGGTTGTGTGAAATTGCAAAATTCTTGAATTTTGCAGAAAACAGGTGTATTTGAGAACCTTCAGCAAAGAATTAAGATATGAGCACACCCCTCGATCCAAAAATTAAAATATGTTTTGTAATCTTCATCAGCAGTTCTTTCAATATATATTTGCACATTGTGGATCAGAGGTTGTGCTATACAAGATATTGAAAAATAGCATCATCTTTTGGCCATTTTTGAAGAAATATTCAGGATATTTGAATAATGACGCAATTCCTGACGTCATTATGCATTAACTTGCAAGAAAATTACGTCATTTTTAGTAGATATTCAGTCACCAAGGGTCCAAGTGATATTTTATTGCCTTGTCGACTACAACAACGCAGTTTTTAATTTTTCAGAAATTCACAGGGCCAAAAAAGGCCCAAAGTGGCCCTTGCTCTTTGTTCACATCATGACCCCTGGGGGTAGGGCAGGGCCATAAGAGGGAGTCAAAGTTTTTCATAGGAATATATAGGAAATGTCTTTCAAAATCTTCTTCTCAAGAACAGCTAAGTCATTATTGGTCATATTAATACAAAAGTATCTTCAGGTAGTGTAGATTCAAGTTTGTTCAAACCATGACCCCCAGGGATAGGGCGGGGCCACAACAGTGGGTCAAAGTTTTACATAGGAATATATATAGGTGTAATGGTTAAGGGGCATTTGAGTAAAACGCATTGAAGACCTCAATTAATGGAATGACCTGACAACCCTTGGAATGAACTAGTCAAACCAAAGGGTATATATTTAAGGCAAAGCTTTGGGAAAGTCAGGCATTCAGAAGCTAGCTGAAGAAGTTGGGTGCTGAGTCAGCAATAAAGAAGTTAAAGTATTTTATTCCTTATAGCAACAGATTCAGTGAAATTGAATACATAACTAATGTGTAGGTGTTTATTACTAGGTATATTTAAACATCATTCCCATTTATTACTATTAGCATGTAAGGGTGGGATGTGTCCTAATTTATGACCTTGAATTTTGGTAAGGGTTATCTCCCTCTGTTTTTAGCTCTTCTGAGCCATATTAAAGGCTCAAAGAGCTAATGCTATGGCCATTTGTGCGATGTGTGTAAACTTTTTAGAATATGGGCCATAACTCAAGAACCCCTTGGCCAATTATTGTCAAATTTGTCACAGGGTATCCTTGGCCCAAGGGCTCCCGTTTATTCTAAAACGAGGGTTGTGACCCTTAAACAAGGGGAGATGCATGTAATTAGGTAAATAAAACCAAAAGTACTGGTTGCTAAAAAAAATTTCTTCTCAAGTACCACTGAGCAGATTATCGCCAAACTTACACAAAAGGATGAGGATATGTTGTAGATTAAAATTTGCATGGGGATTTACCCTGGGGCAAAGGGCGTGGTCTCAAGGTCACTTCAAAGTTGACCAAAAATTACATTTTATTAAAATGTTGATATTTTGCTTACTATAAGGACTAGGATCATCAAATCCTGTCAGTTGATGCATCTAAGGACCTCATATCATGTTGACTCAAAAGTGGGTCACAGTGACCTACTTTTTAAGGAAGTTGGTTCAGTTGATGTAACATGACGCCCTCAAATTTACCTCAAAATAAATTGTACTTTTGAGATATATTTTGTATCGGAAAAAAATGTTAAATATATGAATTATTTAAATTTAATAATGGTTTTTAAAATTGTTGCCTCGATATGCTACTTTTCATGCGATAAACTTGGATGGAATCAGAAATTCCGGAAAAAACCTACAAATTTTCTCATACAATTCAATATTTTACCAGGTGCGCATTGATTTACCAACTTGTTACTTTGCCAAAGAGTAAAACTCTGTATGAGCGACTTGCATGCCAAAAATTACGATGGTAAAATTCTGCGCACTATCTTACTTTTATAGAAATATAAGTTCAAATTTGGGAGTTGCTTCCCTTTCGTTGTCAACAAAATCAAATATGACGTCATCACAATGACATGCAGACAAGATAGTCAACGAGCATCTGAAATGTAGCGAGAGATCCAGAACTGTCACTGTCGTTTAGGTAAGTTTGAATCTCTAGAATTGCAGTGTCATGAAAACAAACTACATTTGTAACCCCCTCCTCCTGATTTTTCTTCGCATGCAGAGATGCGATCATGGTGATAACAAAGTCGTGTCTGCACAAACCATGCAGGTAGATTATGAATTCATTAATTAATGCCTTTTCGACACTTCCAAAGGTATAGCATCCATAAACGTTATGATGATTTCAAAAGTTATGATACACTGTCTTGTATAACGTGCATACGTCATGATGAAGTGCATGATTTTTCAGATCAATCGTTGATCATACACGTGAATGTTCTGTGAAAGCGGAGTGATGAGATATAGTTACATGACAATATTTAATCAAAGAAAGGCCGAAAATTAACCAGCATTACAACGTATTACGTTTCAAGGGACGTTTGTGACATAATTCTCACCGTATCAGAATTTGTTTTTCAGAATCAATCGTTTTTCTGAGTAATGGAGGGAAGGGGGGGGGGGGTAGAGGGTGCCTCCATTGACAAGCAAAAAAAAAATAATAAACTTAACAAAATGCTATTTCATGGGGAATCGGGGGGTGGGTTGGTGGGGGGTCAAATAGTCTTTTCGCAAAAATTGTTCAGTATAAGGATTTGCCAGAGTTCAACCTTAATGCAACAAAAACATGTTTATATAATGATATTTTTTGTAAGAAAAAATTTTGTTTATACATAACTAATTAGTTTTCATGTGTACATAATATTATCTCTCTCTCTATATATATTGTTGGTACTATTAACGAAGCATTGGTTCAACATTCATTGTATAAAGCCATGTAGTAGGGATTACATTCTAGTCTATGTAAAGTTGTGTACATCTAATTGAACTCGTAAAACAATCATTGTTTGACACTTTGATAAGGAGGCTATTCTTAGAAAAGATTATCTGTCGTAGGAACCAGTATTCCTTGACCATATTAGGTAATGCATTGCGTAATGGGCAGCAACATCTCTGGTGGTCAGTAGTCACGTGACCTCGAAAACCAATCCGCATCAAATTTCACTTACCATCACTATTCCTTTGTTTTATCTTAAGCTGGATGTACATGCTCTGTGTTTTTGTTTCGTTATTATTAGATGGATTAGATCTTTTATGGTGTACTGTTTTATTAGAAATCGTTGATCAACTATTTTAACTGAACTGATTGTTTTCCTGTGATAACTGTGACTTAAACTATGGCCGAACGCCGCAGCGCACGGGCAAGCTCATCCAGTGCCCCGTACGACCTAACAAGACCGGAGAACTGGACTGTGTCTAAGTTACGGGAGGAACTGACTAAGAACAATATATCCTTTCGTCAATCGGACAAAAAGAGTGTCTTGATCAAAAAAGCTAAAGAACTTCTCAGTGGCAGCGATAATGTTTCATCGGAGGATCGCCCTGTTGAATTGAGCTCGGGCTCGAGTTCCTCTTCAAACAACCAAGATGGCGGTAACAAAAACTTTGAAACACTTCTACAATCGATCTCAACACTTACTAATACAGTCACGAAGTTGCAGGAGGAGCTTAGGATTGTTTCCAACAAAGTGAATTCAAATCCCTCTACAATATCAGCTGCGGTGGGGAATCCAGTTCAGCCCCCGGCTCCAGAACGGACACAAACCGCGGACGAAGGATACACGCTACAATCAGCGCTACAGAGTCCAAGTCCATGGCAGAACAATGAGGGTAGGTCTGGTTTCCTACAAAAAACTAAGTTCGGTTACGCCGTAGAGTCATTGCCCTTCAT